TGATTATTACTCAAAATCGATGTCAACATTTTTATAATTTTCTTTCTTTAACTTACACCCAGGCAACTCAAATAGCACAAGCTATTTCAAAGCCACAAAATTCTAAGTACATCTAAAATTCAATCTTCAACTCCACCTAAACAATTTATTCATTCTTTATATTTTACAAAAGATATTATTGAATGTGTTACTTTTGCTCAAAAAAATTAAAAAAATTTCTGAACTAATTTTGGTTAATTCAAATTCTGTTGAACTTGTTCATGCAAAAGATTAAAAAAAAAAAAAAAAAAAAAAAACGAATCATATTGCATATTTAAAATGTGTCATAAAAAAATTTGTTATAAGCGGTGATTGGGCTTCTCTATTTTCAACTAAAACCTTTTCAGTCAATTTTTTAGTAAAGAATTATTTATATCATTATTATAGAATTTCATGGTGCAAAACTTTTCTTTACCGATTGTTCGATCATTCATGGTTTATTATATTTCATTCAGTTTCAAAAATATTTCAATTTGATTTTATCATTAGTGGATATTTTATGATCCGGAAACTAAAATTTTACCTCTTGAAATGCAACTGGGATTACAACTATTCAACAGAAAATCATAAGCATAAGAAATTCAAACCCCAATTCTTTTTCATTCAAAATTCAAAGTCCCATGAATTTTTTATTGGAGTTTCATGTTTATTCAGGTTTTTTTATCATCCATATGCATTATACATGTTCAAGAGTTCAAGATCAAATGGTGAAATAAATCTTAAACTTAATACTGCAACATTAAGCCATTGCTTATTATTTTCAAACTTGGGAGAAATTTGTGAAGACCGTCAAGGAGATTCCAAAAACTTCATCTACACATAATAAAAAAGAAGTTCTCGAAAGTTCAAAGATGAGTGTCCAAACTAGCAGAACACCATCAACTCCGCAAAGTAAGACAACAATTCCTGAAGATCCAAAGACTCTTCAAATTAAAAAACACACTAAAAAAAATACTCAAGTTTATGAAAATACTGGAAAAGAAATATTTAAATCATGAAGTTCATTAATCAACAGAGCGAGAATAATGTAAACTCGGATATCACTGAAGAGTCCAACAATGAAACATTTAGAAACCACTGACGAGACCCGTATAATATATAATTCAAAAATTGAGTGTATAATATAATAAATATCATGTATATATATAAATAATGGTCCCACCTACCACCTAAAATATAACATATTAATTAAGGGCCCCACTTACTACCAAAATGGAAAAAAATTGTACTTTCAGTTGGGACGGAGAAAGTATTATTTTGTTTACACTTCGGTTACGGTGCTGATGTTTCACCATACTGATTTTTTTTCCAAAAGTACATGATAAATATTCAAAGAGCATCAATTTTTAGTGCATAGAACATTGTACTCTTGAAATAAAACCTATGCGTTATCTGTATGTTTTTCAAACTAGTGCTATATGTAGCCCTTTACAGAAGTATGTCTAGTGCTCTATAGAATATATATTGTACTATATAGAGTATATATACGGTGCTATCAGAATAATTCAACAGTACTTTCTAAAAATTTAAACACTTAAGAGAAAATCAAATATTTTTCTACGTCAATGCGGTAATTGCTGCATTTTCTTAAAATGAGCTTGTTTTTTGCTTTAGTTGATATTTTAGATAAGATTTTATTCCTATTTTACATTACTTATTGATATTTAGATAAATCCAAAAACAGATAAAATATTTTTATTTTTTTGCTTATTCACTTTTTGTTTACTTCAGTTTGAACACCTATTTATTATGTTTGTTCACTTATTTGTTTGAACAATTTGAAATGATGTAAAACTTTTAGTCTTTTGAATTTGTTTGCTAATATACTCTTTTCATTTAGATTCAATGTATCAATTTGCTTTTTTATAGTAAATTAAGATTTTATAAGTTAGTAGAAGTGTATAAGGTAATTTTGATATTTTTTTTACCCTTAAAGTACAAATGAAATTAATATTTTCGTAAAAATTAGAAGTATTTGATATTTAAATATGAATTATTTTTACTATAATTGAAAATAAATACTTTGAATGAGACAAATCAAAATGATAAAAAAAAAAAAAAAGAAAATTAGGTTGAAACGAGAGCTTGTTGATAACTATAACCAATTTAGTGATATTTTAATAAGAATTAACTTTATTGAATTAATGATAAAACACAAGTGTTATAATTGCATCATCCCTTGAACCAGACACCTCCTTGATAGCTAGTTCCCCGTTGATTTAATTGCTTTGTTATTTTGTATTCATTAAATAATAAAAGAAAATTCCCCAATTTTATTTCCTGCATTAGAACGCGAAATAGTGAGTCACAATCTCTGTGGAGACGATTCTTTTCCCTGTATTATATTAAATTGTGATCACGGAATATGTGAATTATTTGATTGACCGCGGGAGATGTCAAGTTGCATATATCATTTTCATCATATACAACAAAGGCAACATATGCGCAATAATACAAGGGCAACAACAACTAATTTTTTATTCTACAACTCATTGGTATCAAATTAGACAACAGTGTAAAGATTTAGGCATATTCATCATAAATTTCTGGGTAAACTGTTTTTTTAGTTTCGTAACTAGACCCCCTTATCATTTTAGTCCCGAAAGTGGAGCATGTCACAAACTAGTCCCATAAGTGAAAAATTTTCGTTGTTTTAGTTCTCTGGCGCCGGAGACGCCCGCGTGGCTCGCCGGAAGCCACGTGTCCGCCAGGTGTCCCGCCAAGTCAGCGATAGCTGGCAGACACGTGGATTTTATTTTTTTTAAAATTTTTTTATAATTATTTTAATTTCTTTTTAATTGGACTAAATAAAAAAAATTAAAAAAAAACGAATAAAATTTTTTAAAAAAAAAATTAAAAAATTAAAAAATAAAAAATAAAATCCACCTGTCCGCCAGGTGTCACTGACCTGGCGGACACGTGGCCTCCGGTGAGCCACGATGGCGTCTCCGTCGCCGGAGAACTAAAACAACGAAAATTTCTCACTTAAGGGACTAAAATGATAAAGGGGTCCAGTTACGAGACTAAAAAAACAGTTTACCCTAAATTTCTCATATCCATTAATTAAGAGTAGTAACCAATATATTCATTATGTCGAGCAAAGACAACACACAAACATAAATTAGCCTAGATCTTATATTGAAAAATTTAATAATAGGTAGAAAATTGAAATTTAATTGTCTCACACTGTAAAGGTGGAGAAAAAATAGAGCAATCGAAACTCCTCAAATATAATCAACGGTTGTTTGAACCGCAATGGTAAATTTGGAGAAAATAAAAAAATATATATATCGATCAACATAGCTACAGAGCTTGTTTTTCAATGGGTGTTCAACCACAGTTGAAAAAGGAGAATGGGTCATTACCAAGCGCAGTCACCGCTGATTCATCGGGAAAAAGTACGTCAGAAACAAACTAAACCAAATAGACCGAAGATAAATACGTACCGGCGAGCTCGAAATTGAAGTTTGTGTCTACCTCTTTAGACACCCTCAGAGGCCGTGGCGCGGTAAGAGACCTCTCTCCGGTGAAAATTAGCTTGGAGGAAGAAGCGCACATTTGAGAAGAAAGAAGATTGATTAGGATTTTATTCGTTGTTAGGAAAAAATCGCGATTTGGAAAATAAGAATGAGAAGTCTGAATGATTTATTGCTATTTTTATTGTTTTTTTTAATAAAAATTAGATATTAAAAAAATATAGTTAATTATATTGATTTGTAATTATTAATTATGTTTTTGATAGATAAAATTTATTAAAAATAGAAATGTATCAAATTTGGCGGGACAAACTAAAATGGAAGACATGTCAAGTTTTATGGAACAAGAAATTAATATTTATTAATCTTATATTGAAATTTATTTTAATTCAGATTTTTATTATTTTGATTACACGTATGAAATTTCTGCATCTCCATGACCTCCATTCCTTAATAAATTTAGAAGAAATTATGTGACAAGCCACATTATTACAGCATCGTCAAGCTGCAGCACATCCACACGATTACTGAAATTTGCTATAATACGCAATACATGTTGTCTCTGTGTTTTTGGTGAATTTATTAATTAGTAATATTATACTCCCTCGATCCACAAACTAATGTCTTACTTTCTTATTTGGGACCTTCAACAACTATTGTCCTATTTCCTTTTTTAAACACAAATTTTATATTTTTACCTTTCATTCATTTATTATTTTTAATTTCTATCATACAATTAAAGGTAAATTTGTCAATTTATAGCAAAAAGACAATCACTAAAAAACAAAACAGATCGGAGGGAGTAATATAGAAGTTGTATATATAATTATATAATAATATATTAGATGCGTATTTTGTAGAAACATTAGAGAGCGAGCATGCATAACTTATGAAAATAACTGAAACATATTTCCGGCAAAACTGCACTGTTTTGAACTTATCATAACGTCTTATTAATTCTCTCTTTACTTAAATTACATTTTCATCCAAACAATATATATATATATATACAAATTAATTTCCAACCATTTTCTGATTATTTTAACTTGTTTTTTTTTTCAATACTTTTTTATTATTATACAATCCAACTCTTCAATCTATAAACATAACACCTCTTGTTTATTTGTTTTAAATTTTGTTTGTTCTGAATAGTAGTTTGAATATGATTTTTTGCATGAGAAAATGGCCATTTTCTGATAAAAATTTGGGATTGTTGTATAGTGAAAAAAACTCAAATGAAAAAAAAAAAAAAAAGAAAAAAAAAAGAAGTACAAACCCTCTATTCTATTCGACAATTGAATAACATTAACATTCAGAATTAGTGGTAGGGTATTTTGCACATATATTACTACAAACATGAGGTTTATTTTTTTGTTTATTATAAATCTGGACATTATAAATATTGATTAAAATCAAAATAAAGTTGATGATACGTAGAAATCAATTAGGGTTAAGATAATTAATTCCAAAGTAAAACAATAATAATAGTAATAAAGGATACAAATTATCTTCATTAATTAAGCATAATATTATATTCGTTTATTTGATTTCCAGGTGATCGAAATGACTAACAATATTAATAATAATAATAATAACAACAATGAAAGACGTTCCAGTGACTAATTAATTAATTTAATTCAAATAGTTTTATTGGCGGCGATCTTGGCGGCGCCGCCGCCGGGATATGCCCGGAAACGGAAATCAAGAAACAGTGCGAAAAGCGAAACGGCGAAGACGGAGCTGAATCCCCACGTCCAGAAGCCGGAGCAGCCGCCGGCGCCGTTGGTGAAGTGGAGGTAAAGCATCACCGGCGAGATGACTTTTCCGAACAGGAACTGCCCGATCTGGCAGTCGGTCAGGCGGCGCTTCCACCGCGGCCGCAGCCCGACGGCGGTCATCAAGTAGTAGCAGTACATGACGACGTGGACGGAGCCGTTGGTGACGACGCCGATCGGGAACATCGACTGTGACGTGGCGACCCAGAGATAACACATCACCAGCACCACCGCGTGGTGGTACACGTGGAGGAACGAGAGCCGTCGATTGCGCGAACGGCTCAGGAGGATCAGCGCCGTATCGGCGAATTCCAGAAGCTTCGAGAGGTAGAAGACGTAGCCCCAGAAGAAGATCGGCCCCCGCGGCGGCGTGCTGCCGGCGGGGAAGCAGAGCAGCCACGTCACGCCGCCGTTCTCCTGCATTTGGTGGGCGGTGGCGAGGCCGCAGCCGATCACCATCACCAGGGACAGCAGGCAGAGAATCACGTTGTGCGCCGCCGCCGCCACCGCCAGGGCCGCCGCGGGGAGCGTCGGCAAGTGCCGGGAGTTGCGGAGGGAGAGGGTCAGGACGAGGTAGCCCACGACGGCGCCGGCAAGGAATAGCGGCGACGATCCGACGGTCTGGCCGGGCTTCCATTCGTACTGGCTGATGGACGGGTGGTCCACCAGCCAGTAATGGACTGCCGCGTAGAGATTGCTCATCACGCGCCGCCGCCGCGTCTGACAACTTTCTTGCTGCTCGCCGGAATTTCACTCCCGCCGCGCCGTTATATGGTGTATAATGTGTGTGTAGATACAAAATGTAAGTTCATTAGTTCAATACGATAGTCTCTTTATAGATATATATATATATGTGCATATGTATATATATTAATTGTATGTATATATAAATGTGTGTGAGAGAGAATGGTTGTTTGAAGGTAGGATGACGTGTTAATTCGGTGGGTGATATTTGACGGAATTAATGTTTAAAATAAAATAATTAAAGCTTAATTGTACTATTCAATTTATTTCTGGCTTTATAACTGTAGTATTCCTCCATGTCGCAATTGTTTGGTAAAAAGTAAGGCCATCACAACACAGAAATCCATCCAGGGTTTCTTCCAATTCTCTCTCCTGTGCAACGTCAGTTTCTCTCTTCGCCACGTCACGAAGAACTCCAACTATATTTTACATTCACATCAAAGAACCCTTTAAATTTATGAATATTTTTATGTATTTTTATTTATTATTTGTATTGCATGTAATTTTAATTAAACAAATGTTATAATTGAATTAACAGATATTTAATTAAATATTTTACAAAAATATGCATTAAAAAGTTACATAAAATATAAAAATATTATATTAAAAATTATAGTTATTAACAATATTATTTTAATAAAAAAATAAATATTAAATAAAACTCATATAATAAAATTTAAATCTAATATTTTAATAAAACAAATTATTATAAATATAAATAAAAAAGTATATATTATAAATATTATTTTTAATATTTATTGAATAAAAAAGTGGACCATGGCCCACAAAAATTAGAAGAAACGGTACACTCGCAATGTACCGTTTCTTATGTTAATTGGTGTTTTAATTTTTTTTTTATTTAATAAATGATGACGTGGGAGGCGCTTCTCAACAAGCGTCTCCCGTTGTGGATGCCCTAAGCATACGGTAATATATTAGTATAAAAAGTAATGATAATTGTGTAATAATAATAAAAAAATATGGATAATTTTATAGTGATATGGTTATTTATGGAAATTGGACTATTGTTTTGAGATGGACAAAAATAATAAACAAGATTATTGTATTGGGATCGGATGGAGTATAATTTATTTAATATTTAATTGATAAATTAAAATAAAAAATTAACGATATAATTATATATTAATTTAGATAGTTTTGAGGAAAAAAGGCAAATTGTATATAAATACATAAAAATTATATTTTTAACACTAAAAATAATTATAAAAAATTGGGTTTGGGGGCAATACCCCCAAACCCTTGTGTAGTTCCGTCCGTGGGTGCACCTATACTGAAGTTTAAAAATATATTATGTATAATTATATAAATTGGGTAAACTATTTTTTAGTCTCGTAACAAAATCATCTTATCATTTTAGTCTCGTAAGTGAAGTCTGTCGCAAACTAGTCTTATAAGTGGAAAATTTTCGTTGTTTTAGTCCTCCGGCGCCGAAGACGTCTGCATGGCTCACTGAAATCTACTCGTCCGCTAGATGTCCCGCCAGATCAGCGACACCTGGCGGACACGTGGATTTTATTTTATTATTTATTTTTTTTAATTTTTTTTCAATTGGACCAAATAAAAAAATTAAAAAAACAAATAAAATTAAAAATAAATTAAAAAAAATTAAAAAATGAAAAAAAAAATTCCACGTGACTAAAAAAACAGTTACGGGACTAAAAAAATAATTTACCCGATATTTTTAAGTTACCAATAGGTCCTGAATAGATTCATTGAGCATCTTATCCACATCAAAACTCTATATATACAAGTATATATTGAAAGTTATAAGCATTAAGGAATGTATTTATAGGATGGAGAAATTTATTGAAAATATCAAAATGCCGATTCATTGTATCGAATATATTAAAAATTTCGGTATATTGAAATTCTCGGTATGGTATCGATATCATACCAAAAATTTGAAATGATATTAGTATTTATTTTTGGAAAGTCCAGTACTTCAGTATTACACCGTACCGATAATTTTTTATTAAATAATTTAATTATTAATATAAATAATTAAATAATATTTTTAAAAAAAACTAAAAAACCCTAATCTCATACATTCACACATAGCCGATGCCGTGCTCCTCGGCAATCTTTGAGCCAATGCATTATGATATTCTTCACCAATTTCTCGAGCATTGCAGTCAGTATATAAGTTTTGATCAACAAATTTACTAAATTTCATTCGATCGAATCTACTACAAATCTATTTTGCCATTTTTTTGAAGACTATGAATAAAAAAAATTACGGTGAAATATATTTCGTCATATCTCCTTTAATATCATCTTTTTAGCTAAGTTATATAAATTGCATTATATTCATATAAAATAGTAAGAAGATTATCATTTCCGATTTTAAACTACAATTCTTTGAAATGCAGTTAATCATTTATCTCAACCATACACTCTCTATTAGTCTCATGAATTACAATTATTTGAGCATGATTCAAAGATGTAGCTGTTACTATTTATCTAGGGTGTGTTTGTTTGGGATTTGAATTTTGAGTTGGGATTTGAATAATAAAAATTTTGAATTTGAATAGTTGTATGATGTGATATAAATAGGTATTTGATGTGATGTTTTGAATGTAGAATTCATTTTTAGTATAGTATAAAAAATAAAAAAATAGGTATTTGATTTGATATTTTTGGAAGAAAAAAATAGGATGAATAATGTATTTAAAATTCAATCCCCCAAACAAACACACCCTAAATAGTGAATCTTCAGGATAGCATAGTTCCTCCATAAGTAAATTTATTGTTGGCACGGGACTTGACTTTTGTCAGAAAGATACTCAGCATCTACATATTCAATCAACTAATGTTGGAATTACTTTGAATATGATATATTGGGATTAATCATTCTTTGAAGATAACGAAAAATATGTTTGATCACTAAAATTTTCTAATAAGTTTACAACAAATGCTATATCTAGTTTTGTGCAATTAGCCAAATACATCAGTGCACCAATAGCACTTAAATATGATACTTGGGGACCAAATGTGTTTTCATTCTCTTTTTTCCGTTCGAAATGATCCTTGGTATGATCACGAGTTCCAATGATCATTGAAGTACTCAATGAATATGTTTTATATGTGGAAAATTATTTGAAAATCTTTTGAGTACATGATATTGATGCATGGAAATTTTATTTTTAAATGTTCAATTTGTAAATCAAGTAAAATTTTATTTTTTTCGAAATCTTTGATTTCAAATTTTTTTTTCGAATATTCAATAATTTCTTGGAGCTCTTTAGAAGTTCTGGTTAAATTTACATCGTCCACATAAACAACTATATTATCTTTTCTTCCACTATTTTTTATAAAAATACATGAGAAAATAGAATTATTAGTATATCATTCTTTCATTAATAATGATTAAATTAGACAATTAAACCACATATGACTAGATTGCTTGAGGTCGTATAAAGACTTTTATAATTTGATAAAAACAATATTCTTTTGGTTTTAATTTGCATGTAACAGATATATTGAATCATTGTATAAATATAAAAATATATATATATGGCAATATATGATTAGAGAGAAAATCGGCCAATTTCAAAATTTGGATGGACAGATCTGTAAATATATGATATGTCCAAGAAACCTTAATCAATAGCAAAACTTAATCCAACAATCACAAATATTCTCAAATACCAACAAAAATTAGACAACTCCATTTTAAAATAATTTAAATTTTTTTTATCAATAGATAATTTAATCAGATATTTAGATCTTGTGAAAAATTATGACAATAACGACAAAAAAAAAGGTCATAGATTTTGGTGGGGAGTAGGAAACCTTTTAATTGCATGTCTACATTGATATTATTGCTATTTTTCAAAATTTCAAAACTTATCTCTTTGTTTACCTAGGTTGTGTTATATATATGTATATATATATATATATATGTGGGTATGGTTGCGCTAGTAATGGTATATAGATTATATAAATATCACTATTAAATGAATCATATAAATAAACAGTTAAGATGTCCGTCAGACATCTACTCAAATTTTCATGGATTGTCAAACTCTCAAGATATCGAAATGTGATTTCATCTATTACTGATAAATAAGTTTCATTAATATCAATTATTGGTCTCTGTAAAAAACCTTGTGTCTCAAGTCTTGCATTATACATGAAAATTTTATTATTCTCATTTTATTTTTGAACGAATACTAATTTATAGTCAACAGATTTAACACTTTCAGTTGTTTGAACAATAAGTCCAAAAACTTTTTGTTTTTTTAGTGAATTTAATTCAAACTAAATTGCGTGTTATATTATATGCAAAAGCGGTTCCTATTATCGTATCATTTCGGTTCAAATATTTTCCAATAGTACATAATTGCTTGAAATTTTAATAACACTATTCTTTCCAGAAAGTTTTGTCGGTTTCAAATGTCTTGAATGATCAACAACTTGACTCGGTGGATTGTACATTGATAAGAAAACTAGCGAATAAATAACAAAAACCATAAAAGAAAAAAAAAAGATGAAACACATGATTTGTTCACTTATTTTGGTCTAATCGTGATCTATACCTAAGGAATGTCACCTCTGGATTCATCCACTATCATCAAGAATGTCAGTATAATTATTTTAGAAGTAAAAAATACCAAAACAACAATCACACAATCCTATCGGTAAACACCATGATCAACCTGTCATCAATGTTTGAGTGTCATCCACACCCGACACAAATCATTCAGGACGCATCATCTTACCCGGTTTGTGATGTTTATTGTTTTTCACTGAAAAACTACCTTGTACGAATCCAATAAAGATAAAATTCGATCTGCACTTATTTTCTAAGTTTCCGTAATAAAACATTTTCATAGATGCATAACAATCTTCTCTAAAAAAATCAAGAACGAATGGTAGAAAAACTCACAAATATTTACTCATAAAAATCAACTTGTACGAAGTTTTTCTCACTCTTTTTCTCTCAATACTTCCCCCCCCCCCCCCCCACCATCCCCTCTCTCCCAATTCGTATTCACTCGACTCCCCGTTTAATTGATTTCATCTCTCAATTCTAATATT